CCTGCCAAGCACGCGCGCTCGTGCAGTGCAAGCACAGTTCTGGGCCACATGCTCGCGCTTGTAGCATCGGCTGCGTCTGGACCGAAGCTGAAACGAAGTATAGCTGTCGTACTGTGGCTAAGTTGCTTATCTACAGTGGGTGACAATAGAAGCCATGTTCCGGCAGACTAACCTCCGGCTGTATAAGCAACAAACGGCTAATTTGACCTTTTCTTTGAGGGTCCGAAACCCCAGCGCCATTCGCGGCCTTCTACGTCGACTGTCTTTACGAGGCCCATTGTAAGCGGGCGCCGCTCTTGCCACTACAACCTCTAGAACACTGTACTTCGATCTCTGATAGTCTCAGTAGATGTGCATATGTAACTAAAATGGAGTGTAGAGACGTACACTTTAATATTTTCTTGCAATTAATTACCCCTGACTTTTTACACTCAGGTTGCTTAAGCCGTCCTCGTGAAAATGGTCGGAGCCATACGCTTGTTACGCAGAGCATTCGGTAAAGTGAACTATTCTTGATTTCCCCTTATGATGTACCGCAAGAAAGGCTATGGGCGCGAGCTCCTTGCTCTAGGGCACATCTCGCCGGCACAAGCTCCCGTGCATTAAGGGATGCAGGTAATGTTATGAGCTCACGCTTCTAGCCTTCGCTGCGGTACAACATAAGGTGAAACGGAGTATAGAAATGACTGATACACCTGTTGCACGGGCACACTTAACCGCGCTTAACTCAACTTTAACTGCTGTTACGTGGCAGCACAGATACCGCATTATACGCTTCGCAAGTGGGCTCATTTTCGCCTTCTGCGCATGAGAAAGGAAGCAGCGGTGACGTCAGAACACCGAGCCCTGATTGGCTGGTCGCGACCCCCTATCTGAGCGTCGCCTGCTCTTTTGCAACGTCGTCTGCTCGCAACGTCGTCTGCGTCTGTCTTTCCTTTCCGGCAACTCTCGGAAGTCGAGCGAGCTCGACTTCGCCTTTCAGAGAAGGCAGACAAAATAACTCGAGCGGTACGTTGTTTTTGTCTAACAACTAGCAGACGCGCATCAAGGAGGGAAGTCAAAGGACTCGAGGGCGAGGTGACCCGAGGCGCCGAGGTTTGTTTGCTAAGAACCGAGAGTAAGGGCGGTTAATGTCCGCAAGCTCCCTCTTAATCTAACATTGAGGTCGGCGATCAAAGTATTAGACGGGAAGGGTTCACAAGGGTCGCGCGGGCATATTCCATTCAGCACGCCAGCCGGTCGTGGGCAGACGGTCTCCGAGTCGGAGTGCCTGCTAGGCCTATCTGCCGTGCTTGCTTGGTCGTTGTCGGTGGAATTGTGGCCGTTGGAGCTTTTCCCGGGTGTTTGTGGATCCAGCGTTCTTGTTCGTCGTGGTCTGTTTCAAGTATTTTTTACTTTTTTTTTTACTCCTTGAAGTCGGGACGCGTGAGAAGCGCACGTAGAAAAATAAACGTCCGTTCGCCGTCGCGACCGCAACGCTGTCGGCCATGCTGATTTGATCGTAAGAAGTGCGTAAAACAGCTTCGGAGCTGTCGTAGGATTTCATCGTAACCTGCGCAAAACTTACGAAAATTTTGTTTCGTGAACACGAATTTGTTCTCAAGTTTTGTCTTACGCATATTTTTGGCGAAAAAATAGTCAGAGTGCAGGCGAGCTGGTGTAAGTCGAACATGATTGTAAACCTGAGACTGGGGCAGGAAGAGAACACAACAGAAGGTAGTAAAAGAGGAGGCAACGTCTCAAACTCAGCTGCAAAGTTTATTTAAAATAAACTTTGCAGCTGAGTTTGAGACGTTGCCTCCTCTTTTACTACCTTCTGTTGTGTTCTCTTCCTGCCCCAGTCTCAGGTTTACAGTCATGTTATATTTTTGGCGTAAGATCGTTTTGTGAACCTGGCCTCTGCACTTTCGAAAGTCGCAGGAAAGGTAAAGGTCCATACGCATATTCGCGTTTGAACGCGTTTGAGTGCGTTGCGAAGTCCTTGCGGCCAGGCGCGGTCGCTTGCCGAGCGACGCGAGCCGTCCCGCAACGCTCGGTAGCGCGACGCAAGCGAGTAGAGACTCGTTCAACTTTCCGAAGCGTTGCGTTGCGTTCGGGTGCGGTCGACCGATCAGAAGCCGAAAGGGGAGACGGGGTGACGTGTTCGCTCGCCCCACCCGGCCGACTCGGCGAGACGTATCCGGTTCGCCGGTCGCAGTGCTTGCTTTTTCGTTTTGGGGAGCGGTGGGGACTGTATTTTCCAAGGCTGCGATGGTTCAAGCTTGACAAAACGTCGGGGAAGCCGGTGAGATTGTCCCAAGATTGAACACTTCGACGCTGTCGCTGTGCGCCGCCATGTTGGCTTGGATTTCGCTTACTATTGGTGAGCCACTAGTGACGATAGCGCGTTCTTATTGGCTCTTGAATGCGGTTGACTGCATGTGAACACAACTGTGCGTACAAGTTTGGCGCAAGCGGTCTTCGCAACGCAACGCGTCCGCTTGCCGCTACGGAACGCACCGCGCTCAAACGCTAATGTGCGTATGGGCCTTAAGACAGACGCAGAGGACGTTGCGAGCAGACGACGTTGCAAGGGAGGAGACGACGCTCAGATAGGGGTCGCGATCAGCCAATCAGGGCTCGGCGTTCTAACGTCAACGCTACCCCCTGCGCAAGAACCAGGCAAACTTGCCCTTCGCATTCCCTCGGACAGCTATTTCAAAAGAAATGAAGAGAGCTCGTGCACTGCTTTGATGAGTGCTCAAGATGCTCAAGAGCACGTTCGTTCATAGCTCTGACTGCATCGAAGCAGAATGTTGTCGGCAAGTATTGTGCGCTAACTGTCAAGTATTGTGCGCTAACTGTGGCTTAACCTAACTGCAGTTAAGTGTGCCCGTGTAACAAGGGTATGAGTGGGATGAGCTACAGACTCCGCTCATGCTTTCAGTTGAATCTCAGAATGTGGAAAGTTAACGTGGTGGCACTGTGATCGAAGTGGCTTGGTTCACCTGTATTTTCGGACCAGCATCTTGCTTGAGTTGCAATTGTGGGAGAGGATTTTGCCCTTTCTTGACGTACATTTCGAGGCGAGGCATTTAATTTTTTCTACCCTGACAATCTCGCATTTCCTTGTCAATTATGGTTTCACCGCTCAGAGTTCATATCTGGTACTTTAGACCTTTCTATGCATCGAATCTAATTTCTATCCAGCAAACTGAACAAAAGACTGATGAAATTATTTTAACAGAGAATGTCCTTTATCAGCCGATTTCGATGAAAAATGCTTTGGATTCCAGCGCCACGCTCGACCGTTAGCCTCAAGCGTTGCACTCGATCGATACCCAGGTCAAGGTCATGTAAGCAATATAGCCCCTTAGGGGCTACATTGTATTTTTTATGATCTTGCCGTCAGAGGTCACGTGAAGACACGACGCCACGACGACGTGACGTTACGACGACGCTACGACGTCATCGTCAACTGTGAAATTACACGACACCAAGATGCTGCCGGAAGGCCGTCATAACATCGCGTCGCGTTGAGGACGATGCCGTTTCGCTACATCAAATCGCCGTTTTAGCGGGGTCGTGACATCGCGCCGTGTCAAAGACGATGTCAACGTGGTCATCGATGCCGACGTTGACGACGACGCGCCACGCAGCGTCAAACGTCACTATGACGTCACGTTAATGTCGTCCTGACGTTGTCGTCAAGGTCAACGTCACAACGACGTCACGACGAAGCACTGACGGCGTGTAACGTCGTCGAAATCGCCAACTCCAATGTCGACGCGCCGTCCCGACGAAGTCTTGACGTCGTGTAACGTCGTCGTCGTCGACGATGACGTCGACGTCGTGAAGTTGTCGGAACTTCGTAATGACGTTGAGTTGAGTCATGTCGACAACGACGTCCACGACCTGACACTAAGCGTCTTTATGACGTAGCATTGACAGGAACGCCATCGTCTTGACGTCGCGTGACATTGTCGTCGTCGTCGTCAACGTCAACGTTGACATCGACGTCGTTGTCAATGCAATATCACGTCAGTACACAGTCTTGATGTGTAACTCGCGCTGTCAACGTCGAGATCGACATTTACGTCAAGGCATCGTCGTGATGTCGCATGGCGTCGTGACGACAAGTCAGGTTGCGTTGGCGTTATGTAATGACGTCACGCCTAACGTCTAGGTTGTATAAAAAATATAGCTTGGCGTTTCCCTGTTTGTATGACCATGACCAGTGTGCCGGTCGAGCTTGGTGTTGGAACGCAACGCGTTATTTTTTTTCCATATGCGAAGCTTCACAAATAGCCCTCCGGTGGCCCCATTCAGTCGTTCCTAGTACATCTAGATCCGGCTCAGTTTTATCCGGTCCTTGCTTTGCGGAAGCGGCGACAAATCTGCAGACTTGCAGCGAACTGTCCGTTCCCAGCGGTTGAAATGAAACACCCCATCATTTATAGTTGAGAGCATGAATCGAGAACAGAAGCGGGATCTAATAAATGCCGTCTACGAACATGCGTGGGTCCCCAGGACCCGGAGTCCGCGGTTCTTGCAGCCGTCCACATAGCACAAAGTCCCCACCACCGGCACATCGGTGATCAAATTCTTCTTACAATCGCCCGAGCAGAGCGGCTCGGGCAGCGCGCATGCGTACTCCAATATACGTCACGGCGATACGTCCAAACCTCCAGAGGAGAAATTGGCACAATAGGCGCGCTGTCTAATGAAAATGAGCTTAGTAGGGTGTACTCCCCACTAATAAAGTATTTGAAGTCAGAAAAATTTTCCCTATTGCAGTCCTTGAGTTGCATATTATATTATATTTATTCCACCGTGAAAAATATCTCAGTGTACAAGAAAACACGAATAACAGAATGTTTGACCGCATGCATTCTTGGAACTCCGATACAGATAAGAGGATCTCTGTTGCTATGCAGGCGATTAAACCCACAAAATATGCGTACTAGCGGAGCATATTTTATGTCGGAGGCTTAACGCACTATTTAAAACTATAAAAGAGTTCATTTCTTTTTCTCTAGAGGAGGTGCCTTAACTTCTCTATTCAGAAGAGCGGCAATAAAGGGTTCCTTCTTGGCACCCTCCAGGAACTCCTCGAGTGACAGCTTTCCGTCCTTGTTCTTGTCCATGAGCTGGAACAGCCTCTCCGTCTCTCTCTCGGGCGTCCTAGCCTCGTCCTGCGGGGAGCCCGACGGCTCGTACCCGAAAGCCTTGTAGATGGCTCCTATCAACTTGGTCATCTCGTCCTTCTGCACGAAGCCGTCTACGTCCACGTCGAACATGGAAAAGGCCCAGGTGAGCTTCTGCTCCGGCGTGCCGCGGGAGGTCACGCTCAGATAGCACATGAACTCGCGGAAGTCGATGCTGCCGTCCTGGTCAGTGTCAAAGGTGCGGAACACGTGCTCGGCCAGTTTATTGGGGTCCCCGTTTGCGAACTGCCGGCGGAAAGCTTCCTTGAACTGCCTTTGCGTTACTCGCCCGCTAGGAAACTCTTTGACGAAGTCTTCGTACCACTGTTTGATCTCGGATTCAGTAAAGTACGTCTCATTGCGGAGGTTTTCTACTAGCTTGGGGCTCAGTTTGCTCTGATTCTTGCCCATACCTGGGTAGTAGAAAGAATCTCTTCGGTTTGGAACACTTCGTCGACGCCCTTTGTCAGTGATGTCCTCGTTTACTTTTTCTAGTCGGTTTCCGGTGGCAGTTGAATAATAAAAAAAAAAGACGATAGAGGTAAAGATACATGCCACTGAAGACAATGGTGGGACATTATGCTTTTGCCAGACTGTGAGGTATAAAATATAGGCGAATAATCTTCTGAATGGCTGGCTATGTGGATAATCTTCTTAAAACTTCGCCTTTTGTAAAGTTGGACACCGAATTCAAAATTAAACAGTTCGTAGTGCAACAATAAAAAACAGAATAGCCGGCCCTAGTTGAAGGCAACCATTCGAAGGATCCAACCCCAAGATTCTCGGACAGGCGAGCGCCGTTACTACTTACGCCATCTATCGGCCGCCGCTGCGCCGGCGCCCGTAACTCAATGGACCAAAGCGATTTTTTTTTATACAAAGAAAACTAATCACTCGATCCCTTTGCACTTTTGTGTCACGTTTTAATACGTTGCCCTCAACCTCCACGAGAATTTTCGTGGTCCTGGGTTTATATTAAGTCTGGCCAAAATGCAACCAAACTTTTACTCATTGGTTCCTATGGCGAACCGCAGAAAAATCATACGTCTTTTCAGCATTCGATGCAAACCCTAAGAAAACCACACGATCAATTTAGTTGCATTTTGCTATATATATATAGCCAATGTCTCTAACTCCATGGAAACAGTTTTTATTTTCAAATTACTTAAATTTAAAGTGGTTCCCCAGGGCTTTAAATACCAAAAAGAATCCGCAGTTGGTGAGGAGACTCGAGGATTCAGTGACGTTGTTGCGTTCCTAAATACATTTTTTTAGCAACTTATGTAATGTATAACAAAACGGCAACTACACTGAATATTTTCTTAATTGATAAACACAAAACCTAAAGGCAGGTTTTTTTTTTATTTTTTTATTGCGTAATTAGCTCAAATACATTATACTTAAAGCGCTGAATAATTAAGGAGTCAAAGCGTTTTTTGATCCGAACTATCTTTTACAAAGTGTCGAAATTTCATTTCACCAGCTATTCCACTTCCAAGAATGGTATTAAAAATAAAAATGCCAAAATGAGTGGGCGTGGTCCAGACACTTTGGCAAACGGGACATGAAGAGTAGCATTTATGGCGACATTTAGCACGCTGTTACTGCTAATTAATCAATCTTATGTAGGTTTGCTTCGCGTGGGCCCAAGAGCTTTTGAAACGGCCCAGTATCTCTTAAGTCATCACAACCTCAGACGTCAAAATCAGGCAAAAAGGGGGTGTGTCCCAGAAATTTGGGCATACGCGCCGACAATTGTACTATCAATGGCGACACTCAGTACTCTATAAGCCATAATAATGCATCTCCTCCAGTTCTGCGACGCATATGCCCGAGAGCTTTTGAAGCGGCCCAGAATTTATTTAGTTATCACTCTCCAAAGCTTGCCTCAACCGTCAAAATCGGCCAAAAAAGGGTCGTTTCCCACAAATTTGGGCATACGCGCCGACCATTGTACCATCAATGTCGACACTCAGCAGTCTGTCATTCATTATAAGGAATCTCCTCTAGCTGTATGACGCGTATGCCCGAGTGCTGTTGAAGCGGCCCAGAATTTATTTAGTTATCGCTCTCCAAAGGTTGCCTCAGACGTCAAAATCGGCCAAAAAGGGGGCGTTTCCCACAAATTCGGGCATACGCGCCGTCAATTGTACCATCAATGGCGACACTCAGCAGTCTGTAATTCATTATAAGGAATCTCCTCTAGGTGTATGACGAGTATGCCCGAGTGCTTTTGAAGCGGCCCAGAATTTATTTAGTTATCGCTCTCCAAAGGTTGCCTCAGACGTCAAAATCGGCCAAAAAGGGGGCGTTTCCCACAAATTCGGGCATACGCGCCGTCAATTGTACCATCAATGGCGACACTCAGCAGTCTGTAATTCATTATAAGGAATCTCCTCTAGGTGTATGACGAGTATGCCCGAGTGCTTTTGAAGCGGCCCAGAATTTATTTAGTTATCGCTCTCCAAAGGTTGCCTCAGACGTCAAAATCGGCCAAAAAGGGGGCGTTTCCCACAAATTCGGGCATACGCGCCGTCAATTGTACCATCAATGGCGACACTCAGCAGTCTGTAATTCATTATAAGGAATCTCCTCTAGGTCTATGACGCGTATGCCCGAGTGCTTTTGAAGCGGCCCTGAATTTATTTAGTTATCGCTCTCCAAAGGTTGCCTCAGACGTCAAAATCGGCCAAAAAGGGGGCGTTTCCCACAAATTCGGGCATACGCGCCGTCAATTGTACCATCAATGGCGGCACTCAGCAGTCTGTAATTCATTATAAGGAATCTCCTCTAGGTCTATGACGCGTATGCCCGAGTGCTTTTGAAGCGGCTCAGAGTTTATTTAGTTATCGCTCTCCAAAGGTTGCCTCAGACGTCAAAATCGGCCAAAAAGGGGGCGTTTCCCACAAATTCGGGCATACGCGCCGTCAATTGTACCATCAATGGCAACACTCAGCAGTCTGTAATTCATTATAAGGAATCTCCTCTAGGTCTATGACGCGTATGCCCGAGTGCTTTTGAAGCGGCCCTGAATTTATTTAGTTATCGCTCTCCAAAGGTTGCCTCAGACGTCAAAATCGGCCAAAAAGGGGGCGTTTCCCACAAATTCGGGCATACGCGCCGTCAATTGTACCATCAATGGCGACACTCAGCAGTCTGTAATTCATTATAAGGAATCTCCTCTAGGTGTATGACGCGTATGCCCGAGTGCTTTTGAAGCGGCCCAGAATTTATATAGTTATCGCTCTCCAAAGGTTGCCTCAGACGTCAAAATCGGCCAAAAAGGGGGCGTTTCCCACAAATTCGGGCATACGCGGCGTCAATTGTACCATCAATGGCGACACTCAGCAGTCTGTAATTCATTATAAGGAATCTCCTCTAGATCTATGACGCGTATGCCCGAGTGCTTTTGAAGCGGCCCAGAATTTATTTAGTTATCGCTCTCCAAAGGTTGCCTCAGACGCCAAAATCGGCCAAAAAGGGGGCGTTTCCCACAAATTCGGGCATACGCGCCGTCAATTGTACCATCAATGGCGACACTCAGCAGTCTGTAATTCATTATAAGGAATCTCCTCTAGGTCTATGACGCGTATGCCCGAGTGCTTTTGAAGCGGCCCAGAATTTATTTAGTTATCGCTCTCCAAAGGTTGCCTCAGACGTCAAAATCGGCCAAAAAGGGGGCGTTTCCCACAAATTCGGGCATACGCGCCGTCAATTGTACCATCAATGGCGACACTCAGCAGTCTGTAATTCATTATAAAGAATCTCCTCTAGGTGTATGACGCGTATGCCCGAGTGCTTTTGAAGCGGCCCAGAATTTATTTAGTTATCGCTCTCCAAAGGTTGCCTCAGACGTCAAAATCGGCCAAAAAGGGGGCGTTTCCCACAAATTCGGGCATACGCGCCGTCAATTGTACCATCAATGGCGACACTCAGCAGTCTGTAATTCATTATAAGGAATCTCCTCTGGGTCTATGACGCGTATGCCCGAGTGCTTTTGAAGCGGCCCAGAATTTATTTAGTTATCGCTCTCCAAAGGTGGACTCAGACGGGAGAGGCCCTTTCGAGCGCACGACACTAGCCGGCCTCCAGGTGAGGCGCTTCGTGTAGAACCTGCCAGGTGGCGCTGGTGTTCGATTCCGGATAGAGTGCATTCATACACAGGCGCGCTTTTGCTTGAGTGGTGACATCTCAGCCATTTTTCCGCCCAATCGTTTTTTTATGCATTTTGAAGTGCGCGCAATCCGGTGTCACTCAGCTCGAGCGCGTAGCTTTGGCTAATGCATAGACGCCATTTTACCGCCCAAGTCACGCACCGAGTGCGCCAGAGCGTCACGCGCTGGCACATTCGGGGCAACAATGGATGTCTTCACCCTGAGACAGACAGACATGTAGGCATCCTAATTCCGGATAGAGCGCCTTCATACACACGCGCGCTTTTGCTTGAGTGGTGACATCTCAGCCATTTTTCCGTCCGATCGTTTTTTTATGCATTTTGAGGTGCGCGCAATCCGGTGACACTCAGCTCGAGCGCGTAGCCTTGGCTAATGCATAGACGCCATTTTACTGCCCAAGTCACGCACCGAGTGCGCGAGAGTGTCATGCGCTGGCACATTCAGGGCAACAGTGGATGTCTTCACCCTGAGACAGACAGACATGTAGGCACCCTAATTCCGGAGCACTCCTGCCAGCGAAGCTCGCGCCAAGCGTAGCTGTTTTTGATATTAGCGGTTCATTAGTGTGGCCTTTGAATGCTTCATGGGTGTTTCAACGTGTATGAATAAATTGGTTAAAGCTTACTTCCACAATTTAGTGAAAACTGGGGTAACCAGTCTTGCATGCTGGCGCGTAGCGCTGCGCATCCGTCTTCTTTCTCTTCGTTTTCATTGCATAGCGACAAAACTCGAACCTATGTAATCACAATGGCAAGCACTTGATAATCACAAAAACAAATTGCAAAAACGACCATAGACACTACAGAAACCATCTGAGAACGTACGCGACGCCATATCCCATGTTACAGTAGCCATGTCCTCCGGATTTCGACAACAGCGCCACTCGCGGCAGTCTGTACTTCTGGCTTCACACGGCCGATGGGACGCCGCCGACATTTTTTCCACTGCCCCTATATTCTAGTTCAGTGTAACTAGAGCGCCGACGTTAGAACGCGCGACTCGAGAGCGCTGCGATAGGAGCGCGCTTACCATTAGAGTGCACATCACAAGAGCGCATGACCAGTAGAGCGCATGTCACGAGATTGATTACCTTGTCCGAAAAAGAAGCTTTATTGTACGCAAACACTTTAAAGCACACAGAACCACTTGACGATCGATCGGCTGGGTGCAGGAGCCGAGATTGAATGTTATTTCGAATGGTGAAGTTGTGTACATTAGGAAGTGACTTCCAACTCA